ACATACTAAATCCTTGAGGGAACACAAACGAAGCTTAAAAATCGGGAGGCGGGTGATTTGTAGACTCAAACTATTTATCTTTTTAACTTGAGGATTTTAGTTCTATTAAATCACTGAGAAGAGATTGAGGATGTCGACGATGATAGTAATTTACTTCAGTATTCTTTCTAGTCAGCGGCAGATTTACGCAGCAAAGAAAGAAAAGAGCACAGGGAAAGTGATTATATCCGTGAAACAAGTCAAGGATTTGACATTTGACTATTTTCACACAAATTATTGTTTTGAAAGGTTGCATGGCGTGGTCATCATGGAGTGGCGGCTGCAAAGAGTGTGGACAGAATCGCCAAAGAGTGGGTGAGTGAGAAGAGGGAATTTTTTTGAATTCTTGATTCGAAAGTGCGATCGCGGGTTTCATCATTGATTTACAACTTCTAAAGACTTCAAGTACACGCGCATTTAGAAGATCTTAGAAATAATGAATTCTCGTTCATAGGTTGCGATATAGACTGCAATCAAAGTCAAGGGTTTTACACCATGTGCAAAAGATTGAGAACCAAACATAAGCTATGCGTATGGTTACAAAAATAACATGTATATCAAGGTTGTATTAACGCGAAATTCAATGCATTCTATGTCATTCTCGTATTTTTTTTAGCTGGGAACTATAAACAAACCCTCAGCCGCTATTTTTAATCGATGCCTTCTTTACAAAAATAAGATGGCTTACGCCCAATCGTTAATTATCTGGTTGACCCTACTTCTAGAATTTAACTGCTCAAGAACTCAGGAATCGCGGCCCTGCAAATGTAAGTGATTTTGTGTATGAGCAGAAACACTCATCTGCTGGCTGAAAATGTTGCACACGTAACCTTTAACTTTACTTTCGTTAACTTCCAAACTCTTTATGAACGATGAGTTGGTTTTAAAAACTGAGCTGATAATTTTAATTTGCAACCACAGAGAGTTTCAAAGCTAACGTTTCGAACGATAGCTTTGAGGAAGGGCTAATGCTGGCCATTTTAGATAATGAACAGCATATAAAAACCCCCACTCGCAGCATCACAATTTCTTTGGAAATTGCCCCCCTCCACACACCCTTCCTCCCGCCCCTTTTATCTTTCCGAAACAACTTGACACGGACCGAGTTGAGAACTCTTTGCTTTTTTTTGCTTGTTTATTTTTCTTGCCATAGTAGTATCCTTTCTGATTAGATGTTAGATTTTTTGTGTCGTGCAATTTTTTGTTGGATCGAAAATAGGAAAGAGCATTGCAGTAATTTTGGCGAAGGGTGCTTAGATTTTCTTAGTGAAAATCGTTGCTGCCAGTTATGATTTTTACAGCTGCGGCGGACAAGGAAGAGAAGGAAATTTGCACTAAGTGGGTGAGAGAAGTTAAATGGAAGGAGAGGAGAGGGGAGGGGCTGGGCTCAGGCTAAAAGAGAATTTTTCCTTTTTCTTTTTTTTCCCAAAAAAGGTCCTCCTGAAATGAATTCTCTTCGAGAGAAGTCTGTCAAATTGAATCTAACCCTTCAATTGAAATGCCATGTGAAGGGTTTTCCTACACCAGAGGTAAATTGGACAAAAGATGGAAAGTTACTTGATACCAAGAACACGCTCAAGCTTAATCAAGTGAGTTATGAAGACGCTGGTCAATACACATGCAGCGCTAAGAACACTGAAGAGAAAATGGAAGCAGCTTTTCAGATTACAGTTACAGGTAAATGTTGATTTCCTTTTTTCTTCCTGTTGCTCTTGTCAATTTTTGTTTTTCTTTTTCACACTTACAC